TAGTCAACTTGGCAGGCATCAAAGCAATGACAGACTCTGTCTCAAACAAAGGGTGAACAGCATCCAAAGCATGACACCTAGGTTGACCTCTGCCCTTCACATTAATATGCAGACACGTGCACTTGCATGCACCTACCCTGTATACATATGGTGGGCACTGCCACATACCCATTCATGCACACAAGCATGTACACAGAGAGAGAGAGAGAGAGAGAGACAGAGACAGAGACAGAGACAGAATTATATAAGAACTCCTGTATAATCCCCCTTGCTTTGTGGTCATGGTGCCTATGACATGTTTCATTGACTTGAAAACCAGTTCTGTGCTCGAGCTTAGTTTGTCCCCCTGGGCCTACTCAGAACATCTCAGCTTCAGATTATGAAGGCGGCGATGACAAACCAGTGACATAGAATCTGGAGGGTAATAAGCCAGACCCAGTCAAACTAAGTCATGAGAGTACTCTCGATAAAGAATCAAACTGTCTTGCCTTCTGGTCTAGAGAATTGATTGATTTCTTCACGTTTCTGTGAAATCATTTTGTAAGGATGGTTCAGAACCTAGCTGTGTATTTTAAGGGAATAAATGGCAGAACAATATGGGATTGTTATTAACCTTACAGTCTTTCCATTAGCCTCATCTTCCTGACTGCAAGAGAAATGGGATGCTAATAAAATGCTTTCTTTGCATTTTGTCGACCTAGGAGAAGAAGCCTTTATTTAAATTATAGCTCATTTCATTGCCATAGTGTTGTATATTAGAAATTGATTGTCCCATTTCTTCTGTAATAGCTTCATTAAATTTGGGGGGAACCTTTCTTTTATTTTTAAATAAGAAATAATGGGTTTATGAAAGTGGAGATCTTTGTTTTTATTGTCTACAATTTCAAATAAAGCATATTGACTATAATTATAGCATTAAATTGAATAGAGGGACAATTATTATTTTCTGAATAAAATGAGATTGCTTACAAGGTCTTTCTTAAGATCAAGTGTCACCTGTTTTCAACTTTCCTAAAGTTTTCTCACATCTACTTCTAAACAAATAGAAGGAGCGCAGCACTGATTCAATGTGTAAGTTAGTCCCAGCCCTGTGTTGTGTCTATGATTTTTTTCTAAGATTTAGGGATTTGTTTTGTCTGTGTGTATGTACACGAGCAAATGTGAACATATGTACACAATGTGTGTGCTGGAGGTGGAAGCCAGAAAAGCTCATCAGATATCAGATCCCCTGGAACTGGAGCCACCATGTGGGTGCTAGGAACAAATCCAAGGTCCTCTACACAAAGTAGTGAGTGCTCTTAACTACCCAGCTACCCCTGCCCCTCCCCCCATTGTCAGTGACTTTAACGTGCACCTTCACTGTGAAAAAAATTGCCATCTTTTCTGATTTTTTAAAATATTTCCCAACCTTTAGTAAAGTTATGCAGCAGACAACCTGGAAAAACTGTTTACCTAAAGTCTTTAATAATAAACTTTAACAAATTTGAGACATTTGTGTGAAAAATAAAGGCCACTGTAGGAAAAGGGGGCAGAAAATTAGGTGGAAAGATATTTGTCTGACTATTAAACATCTGGCATATTTTTTCCTTTTTTCACTATCATGAATAATTTTAATTATTTTTCCTCTTTAACTTTTTTAGTTAGCATAGAAAATAATCATTATCACTTGCTCAGATTTACTCACACCTTTACCTCACTCCTCTCTCCTTTCCATTTGTCCCTCTCTTACCTTGCATTGTTTTTAAGTGTAATATAAAATACGCTGAGGTTGTTGTTTCTGGCCTTAGAATTCAAAGTCTATGGAGAACTCTATGTGTAACTGACAACACTGGAAAAGAACACCAAGAGACAATATTAGCATACTCATCATCAACTGGCAGCCTGCCAGGTCCAGAGGTACCCAAGATCTTCCTTTCAAGGCTTTCAAGTAACAGAAATAGCAACTGGAGGTGAGGATCCTTCCCAGAGCCCTCCTGAAACAGGTTGTAGGAGGACTGAAGGGAGTGGAGTTAACTAACGCCAAGTTGCAGTGCAGTTTTCTCTTTGTGAGTATTCCCCATTCGCTTCCCCAAACAGTATTTAATATACTCAAAACGTTGATCTACAAAGTGTCCCCTTCATTTGGACAACTGCTTTTTTTTTTTGCTGAATCACTTTTTCATGAACTGAAGCATGCACTTTCCTTCATCCAATTATTATTTGAGATGAGAACATTTGACTTCCCTTACAGAGAGTGTTGGACATAGAGCAACGGGTAGTCACGGGTTCAAACAAGCAATGTAGATACCACTTACAAAACACGGGGGAAAACACCACTGTAAAATCTCACCCAAAGGTGTCCTGAAGACTTGTGAATTCTATGCCTTTAAGACTGTCCTCAAACATTAGTCTGACTCCTTAGTATTAAGAGAGAAACAAAAAGACAGCTCAGTTCATGCTCCATTGCCAGAAACAGCAGAGCCACGGGCTCTAATCTCCAACAAAGATGGCAAGGAAATATTTATATTATGTTTCTATGAAATCAAGTCCAGTCCTTATGTCCTCACCCACACAATTGCAACTCTGAAGTCAGACTGAATTGGTTCATTCTTGTGCCGCACACGTAGGTTATACCATGCATACATGGAGGGAAAAACAAATCAATGAATGATGAGAGCAATTTGGGGAGAAAATGGAACCAAAGAGCAAATTTTCAGTTCTAGAAAAGTTCTGGTTACCCAACTAACAACTTTAAAAGAGAAAAGGAAAGAAAATAAACTCCTTTTTCCAGAAAGATAAACTAAAGCCACAGGAATCCTTTGAAACTCATTTAGAAGGACACTGCTAAACCCTTAAATAGGCACCACCTCCCCCTGTAATCTTTGCCTTTCGGTGCCAGGAAGGCTTTGCCCTGTCAGTTACTGTGTTATGTAAAGTAAGCTGGCATTTAAGATTAAATACTTCATCTGGACCTGAATGCATCAGTAGAACCTTGGTTTTGTGTACCACGTATTTCAACAGTTAACAGATCTAAACAGTATTGCATGTTTGGAAGGAAGATGCGAAAGAATTATTAATGCCTCTTATGGAACTGTTGTCTCTAAAAGATGAAACCTTTTTTGGCACCAAATAGACATTCGCCCACAATGTACATGCACTGTGATGGTCTGACTCAGCGTCCTGGGGATGATGAATTTAGAAATAAATTTTACTCACTTTTTCTGTGACTTATAGAAACCTAGATGTATTATGCCCCACATATGGATAATGTTGTCAGAAACAAGGGGAAAATATCTTGACTATTTGGCTCAGAAGAACTTTATATTTTCAAATCACTTCAAAGTTTATACTATAAATACGGATTCATCCTTATGTAAAGTTCTGAGAGCTCTCTAGTATGCAAATGAAAGAAATGTGGACCTTCAGAATTGTATTTGAGAATCTGGATGCATGCATATTAGCCCCGGGAGGTACTCAACAATATTAATATTCAAAAGCCTCAGATGTGTGTCTCTCCGTTGGCTGGAAAACCAAACTGTTTATTACTTTGCTGACAAAGCCCTTACAGGCCTATTCATAGAAATAATGAAAACCAAGAAAAATTTAAAAGGTGGAAATTAAAGATATGCTGCATTTTCAGAAAGGAATTCAGGAAGAGGAACTCCATTTGTGAGCTGAAAGATTCACACAGTGGTGAAAATGGTCAAAGGGAGAAATTGCTATTCTAATACACGAACTGCTTTTGCCCAAGAGAGTCCTGGTTTGGCTTTGATGCGTTTTGTTTTGATTTGTTGCTGTTGTTTAAATAGATACAATTCCGTGAAAAAGGAAAGAGATGCTGTGAGTACGGGAGTAGATTGGTGATCTGGGGGAAAGCATCGACTTAGAAGCAAGAGGCATGTGCTGGAGAGGTGGCTCAATGGCTGAGAGCACTTATTCTTTTATTAGGGGGTCAGTGCTTGTATCCCAGCACCCATACTGGATGGCCGCTCCAAACACATAAAAGAATAAAGTGTTCCCAATCCAACTCATCTGTCAGAAGCAAGAACTCATCTCAGAAGCAGGAACCTCAGTTGAGAGAGTGCCTCCACCAGACTGGCCTATAGGCAAGTTTGTAGGACATTTTTTATTATTAATAATGGTTAATATGGGAGGACTCAGAATCCTCTAAATGGTGCCACACCTGGGCAGCTGGTTGTGAGTTGTATGAAAAGCAAGACAGGTGAACCATGGGGAGCAAGGAAGTAAGAATTGTTTCTCCATGGTCTCTGGCTCAGTTGTGGACCCCAGCTTTTTACCTTGTGCTGCTACCCTGAGTTCCTCCAATGATCAGTGTAATAGAGACATGCTTTCCGTCCCCAACTTGCTTTTGGTCAAAGTCCGCAACACATCAACAGGAAGGAAACAAGGACATTGTCCTGAACAATTTATAGATACTAAGCATATATAATAATACATGTGTAGAAGTATGCATTCAAATACATAAGAATTGAAGTGCTACTAGTCTAGTTTTTCAAGACAGGGTTTCTCTGTGGCACTGGAGGCTGTCCTGGAACTCGCTCTTATTGACAACGCTGGTCTCGAACTCACAGAGATCCACCTTCCTCTGAATCCCAGTGCTGGGATTAAAGGTGTACGCCACCACTTCCTGGCTAATGTTTACATTCTTAACAACATTTTCAAGAACTTTTCTAGAGTCATTACCAGTAGGTGAAATTCCCCAGTGGTGGTGAGGTGCCTGCTCCATCAGATGCTGTTGACTACTCCACAAAGTGATTGCCCATCTTTTACTAAGCCTGAAGTGACCATTAGTCCTCTGAGACTCACATACTTGTAACCAGTAGATGTTGTCATTTATTCTGTGAACAGAAAGCTTACAAACTCATGGAAGCTTAACAAATCATTACTGAAGGAAATTGCAGTCTTTCTAGAATTGAGTGAAAATGAATACACAATGAATCAAAACTTATAGGGCACAATGAAAGCTATTCTTTTTTTTTCACAGTCTTTAATGGAAACTGTGCATGAGACACCCCTACTCCTGCATCTTCTCAATCGTTTCTTCCTTGTACTTGCTCTTCTCCTTGCCTACTTGTCGAGACTTGGCTTTCCTTTCCAGGATCTTCTTGCGGTCTTTGTCCAGCTTTAGCCTGGCGATACCCACCTTGCTGGGGTGGATGCCCACATGGACAGTCGTGCCATTAGCCTTTTCTTGCTGCACTCGTTCGATGTAGATGACGTATTTCTTCCTGTACACCTGGACCACTTTGCCAATCTGCTGACCTTTGTAGTGTCCTCGGACAACCGGAACTTCGTCACCCTTTCGAATGGGCATCGACCGAACATTGTACTTCTGTCTCAGCTCTTTGGAAAGAGGGGAAGACACGATCTTCCTCCGAATGTGACAAGGTGCATTGAAATGCTGTTTGCGGTTCTTGCTTCGGTCAGAAGTCACCAAGGGATTGAACTTCCTTTTTGGCGGCTGCGATCCAGCCCAATGAAAGCTATTCTAAGAAGCAAGTTCATAACATTAAGTGCCCACATAAAAATGTTGGACAGATATAATACTAATAACTTAACAACACTCCTGAAAACTTTAGAACACAAAGAAGAAATCACACACAAAAGGAGCAAACAGTAAGAAATAATCAAACTCGGGGATGAAATCAGTAAAATAGAAACAAATGAATAGAAAAAATACAAACATTCAATGAAACAAAGTGTTGGTTCTTTGAGAAAATAAATCAGATTGGCAAACCTTATCCAAATTAACTAAAATCTAAATTAATGAAATTAGAAATGAAAAGGGAGACATAACAACAAACACCAAGAAAATACAAAGAATCATAAGAACACACTTTTAAAAGCTGTACTCCACCAAATTGGAAAATCCAAAAGAAATGGATAACTTTCTTGTACATACCACTTACCAAAGTTAAATCAAGATCAGATAAGAATTTTAAACAGATCTATAACCCCTAGTGAAATAGACACAGCCATTAAAAGTTTCTCAACTGAGCTCACAGACCCCAGACTGACTGCTGGAGAAACAGCATAAGACCAAACTAGGACCCCTGAATGCAGGTGTCAGTTGTGGGGGCTTGGGCAGTCTATGAGGTCTCTGACAGTGGAACCAGTATTTATCCCTAGTGCACAAATGGACTTTGGGAGCCCATTCCCTATAGAGGGATACTCTCTCAGCCTAGATACACAGGGGAGGGCCTAGGTCCTGCCCCAAGTGATGTGACAGACTTTGATGAACCCCCATTGGGAGGTCTCACTCTCCCTGAGGAGTGGATGGGGGTGGGATGGGGGTTGTGGGCAGAATGGAAAGATAGGAAGGAGAGGGAACTGGGATTTGTATGTAAAATAAGATTGTTTTTATAAAAATTAATTTAAAATAAGCAGGCAATTCTTATGCATAAAAAAAGAAGCTGGGTGGTTGTGGCACATGCCTTTAGTCTCAGGACTTGGAAGGCAAAGGCAGGCGGATCTCTGTGAGTTATGTCAGCCCGGTCTACACAGGGAGTCCTAGGATTGCCTGGAACCTTGCCCCAAAAAACCAAAAACAACAAAAGTAGATAGATAGATAGATAGATAGATAGATAGATAGATAGATAGATAGATGAATAAACACTTCCTGAATAATATAGGATGTAGGAAATAGCCTTAGACTTGATCAACAGGGTTACATGGAACTAAAAGAGTTCTTACAGAATTCTTTGCCACATTCCAATCCCAGTTACTACTTCCTCCTCTCCTCCCACACCCTCAACTCCTCCTCCTCCTATCTGCTCCACGGAGAGGGTAAGGCCTCCCATAGGAAGTCTACTAAGTCTGTCACATCATCTAATTGAGGCAGGACCAAAGCACCTCCCCACCTCTACACCCCTGTGTATAGGCTGGCCATAGACTCTCTCCACATAGAATGGACTCCACCAAATCAGTTTGTACATTAGTGTTAGGTTTTGGACCCACTGCCAGTGACCTCATATATTGTCCCAGTCACACTGTATTCAGGGAGTCTAGTTTGGTCTTATGCAGGTTCCCCATTTGTCAGACCTGAGTCAGTGATCTCTCACTAGCTTGGGTTAGCTGATTCTGTGAGTTTCCCCATCATGGTCTTGATTCCCTTGGTCTTAACTCCTTTGTTCATATTATCATTCCTCCTTCACTTCAATTGTAGTCCAGGAGCTTGGCCCATTGGTTAGTTGTGGATTTATGCATCTGCTTCCATCTGTTTCTGGAAGAGGGTTCAGGCTTCTCTGGAGTTATGGATTGCAGGCTGGGTATCTTTTGATTTATGTCTGATATCTACTTATGAGTGAGTACATACTATATTTGTCTTTCTAGTTTTGAATTACCTCACTTAGAGTGGTTGCTTTCTTGTTCTGTCCACTTGCTTTTGAATTTTAGGATGTCATTGTTTCTTACTGCTGAGTAATACTCCATTGTATAACGATACCACATTTTCTTTATCCATTCTTCAGTTGAGGGGAATCTAGGCTGTTTCCAAGATCTGGCTATTACAAATCATGTTTCCATGAACACAGTTGAGCAAATCTTCTTGTGGTGTGAATGTGCCTCCTTCAGGTATATACCCAACAGTGATATTTCAGGGTCTTCAGGTAAGTTGACCACTAATTTTCTGAGAAATATCCATACTGATTTCCACAGTGGCTGTACAAGTTTGCACTCCCACCAGCAATGGAGAAGTGTTCCTCTTTCTCCACATCCTCTCCAGCATAAGGTGTCATTGGTGTTTTTGACTTTAGTCATTCTGATCAGTGTTATATGGAATTTCAGAATGATTTTGATTTGCATTTCCCTGATGACTAAGGATGTTGAGTATTTCTGTCATTTGAGATTGCTCTGTTGAGAATTCTCTATTTAGATCTGTACCCCACTTTTTGTAATGGACTGATGTTTGTAGGGCTGCAATCAGAACCAGCCGAACAGTCCGGGGTCTGTTCCTGAGTGGGGAAGTGCGGATGAGGGAAATGCTAGCTATGTATATTAAAGGAAAGACAGAAACAGGATAGTGCCAGGAGGGCAGATTCAGTTAACACTCCTAGCTGCACATACCACTTGACCTTTAGGCACTACATAGCTGCATTTATCACCTAGCCTGTGGGGAAAGTGTAAACTTGTCTGAGCCTAGGTCTATTGTTAATTAGATAGGAGACATTCACCACCAAGTAAGTCTAGGGCATCCTGCAGCCATTAAGCTAATATCTTAATAGGAGTCGAAGCTCTCTGAACTCATGGCAAGATGAAATAGATTTCCAATATATGGGCCCCAACAATTTTTTAATTGAATTATTTGGTAGTTTGATTTCTAGTTTCTTGAGTTCTTTGTATATTTTGGAGATCAGCCCTCTGTCAGATGTGGGGTTCGTAAAGATCTTTTCCCATTCTGTAGGGAGCCGTTTTGTCTTGTTGACTGTGTTCTTTGCTTTACAGAAGCTTCTCAGTTTCAGGAGGCCCCATTTATTGATTGTGACACACAACGTACCTTTTACTCAGCTACAAAATAATGGAATTTGCAGAAAGATGTATGAGTGTGAAAGTAATTATATGAGGCTAGCCTGGATGAATAACGACTGTGTGTTTTCCCTCACTTTTCTTTTTTCTTTTTTTCTTTTTTCTTTTTTTTTTTTTTTTTTTTTTTTTTTTTTGGTTTTTCGAGATGGGGTTTCTCTGTATTTTCTTGGAGGCTGTCCTGGAACTTGCTTTGTAGACCAGGCTGGCCTTGAACTCACAGAGATTATACTCACTTTTCATTTTTACCTTGTGTTTATATACATATGTGCATATGTATATTTATTGGTCGTTTATGGTCCTGTAAAATACTTAAATATATATATATATATATATATATATATATACATATAGGTGTGGGTATGGATCATGAAATAAGAAAGTGAACCCTAAAGGGGGTAAAAGATTTTGAGTAACAGAACATGTGTGAATGATACCAAAAAGGGGACTACAGACTACAGTAGTGTAAGAACACAAAGGATTGTGGGTAAGTGGGCAAGACAGGTAGGAGGTGAGTCTGGACAGATGTTCAGTGATTAAGGACATTTACTGCTCTTGCAGAGAACTGGAGTTGAGATTCGGGCATCTACATTAGGTGGTATCTGTAACTTCTGTTATGAGGAATCTAATGTCCTCGTCTGGCATTCAAGGGCAGTTGCATACAGATAGATACACATTCTCACACAGATCCATGCATGGAGACAAAAACAAAAATGTGAAAAGAAAAAAATAGGAGCAAATGAATGGGTGAAAGGAAGAACAGGGTATCAATAAAAAACCAATTACATATGAAAATGTCATGACAAGCTCATTACTTTGTATGATAATTTTGAAAATAAACAAAAGATAAAGGGAAAATACATTTCTTGGTTTGAGTTCCATTTGTGTATTGGGTATTCTACCGGTTTATTGACTTTTATTCATATTTCTTAGTTTCTTAATTGAGTAAATAAAATGGAACCATCTTCACATGAATGAGCTGAAAGATCAATGACTTAGCATTATATGTTCAGCAATTCACATTTTTGAAGACAAATCTTGCATACCCTTCCATTCTAAAATAATTCAGAATCATGCTTCCAATATTTAGACTATACAATGATGAGTGTTTTGTGGAAAAGAGAGAGAGAGAGAGAGAAAGAGAAAACTCATTCAGAAAATTTTAGGGAAACCAATGGAAAACTTTACTTTCAAAATCATTTACAGACCACCATGCTTTAAAATTAGAATTCAACAAGAACACAAGTTGCAAAAAACCTACAAACTCATGGAAATTGAAAGATGCACAATTGCACCACTCCTGGGTCACAGAAGAACTAAAAAAAAGAAATTAAAGACTTCCTAGAATTCAATGAGAATGAAGACACAACATACCCAAACTTATGGGACACCTTGAAAGACGTGATAAGAGGAAAGTTCATAGCACTAAGTGCCCACATGAAGAAACTGAAGAATAGTCACACTAGAGAATTAACCAGCACAACTGAAAGCACTAGAACATAAAGAAGCAAATTCACCCAGGAGGAGGAGTCTTCGAGAATATCAACAAGATAGGCAAACCTTTATCCAAACTTACCAAATGGCAGAAAGGGAATATACAAATTAACAAAATCAGAAATGAAAAGGGGGACATAACAACGGGCACCAAAGATACCCAGAAAATCGCCAGGTCATACTTTGAAAACACCTGTACTCCACAAAATTTGAAAATCTAAAGGAAATGGTTAATTTTCTGGATAGATATCACTTACCAAAATTAAATCAAGAACAGATAAGCAATTTAAATAGACATGTAACCCCTAATGAAACAGAAGCAGTCATCAAAGGTCTCCCAACCAAAAAAAAAAAAATCCAGGGCCAGAAGGCTTCAATGAAGAATTCTACCAGAAATTCAAAGAACAGCTAATACCAATTCTCTTCAAAGTATTCTACACAATAGAAGCAGAAGGGACACTGCCAAACTCATTT